TCTGCCAAAAGGCTATCATTCATTTATGATGATCTGAGCTGTTTTCTATATGTCTTTTCTCTTTTCACTTTCTCCTTTTTATGGGAGTTAAATGGAAACAGCAGGAGTTTCTTATGATATGGATGAGGGCATGGAGAGAGGAGGCTGCCCAGTAGGGATGCTAAGAGTGAGAAGCTGAGACCCCATGTCCATTCCATGTGGTGAATATCTTTTGCACTCTTCCTGATGTCACATGAGAATCAGACTGTTAGAAAGCTTTACTTGCTCCAGAATTCTTGTACATTTCTAATAATATTTCCAGTACAGCTTGGGGTCTCCCTCAATGGGAACTACTTAAATACAGAACAAAACAAAAAATCTGCACGCTGGTTTTCAAGCTCATATTTTATCATAGGAAGCTTGGATGCTGTTCTCAAGGCAGTGTGCCTTGGCAATTGTATCCTTATTTATGCTGCATTTACTAAGGTGCTGGTTTTGGCAGGGAAATTGTCAAGAGTTCTGATTTTTCTCTGACGTGTCAGAATAATAAGCAACGTTCTGGTCTGTGCTAAAAAATGGGCCCATTTTGTTTGCTTCACAACCAGTCTAAGCAAGTAGAGATGAGGAGAAGGGTTTTTAATGGTGGTAAGTGGTGTGTTGTTAGGGTGTCCTGGTGTAGGCTGAGACATAAGGTCACCTGTCTTTTTTTTTGTTGTTGTTTTCCTTCCCTTTAAGCCCATATTTGCAATGCTTTTTGACAGATGCAGTCAGAGCCTGTTTGGTTGTTTGTGTATGAAGGAGTGCTTCGTTATATTTAATGAGCAGTGTGGAAACAATATGAAATTTCCTGCAAGCGAGGTGATTCACATGTGGTGCAAAAGGAAAATACCACCCACTAAATGATGACAGGAAAAGCACACAATGTTAATTAATAATAAAAATAAAAGAGGGTATTTTGACATTTCTGTATTATTCCCAGAACAGGTAACCTCTGTTTTTAGTGTGTGCAGAAAGGGAAGTTAATGGCATTCAGTCCATTATCATCTTAGAAAGACTTTTCCCTAATTCAGAGTAGGCAAGTGTGAAGATAAATGAAACTTATGCTTGAATACAGACAGGACTTTTCCATCACAAAAGAATATGGAATATGGAATAAATCATTTCACAAAGAAGAAGTTAAGATCTGTCTTCATGATAGTTTACGTTTGTCACATTCATTACAATAACAATTTAAAGCAAATAGTTACTAAAATAGTTACTATTTACAAATAACCAAATGTTTTAAAGATGGGTACCGTATATTCTTAATATGTTCTTGCTCTTTAAAGAATAAAAAAAATCCCTTATATCCTATAAAGCTATTGCTTAAACCTATAAAAATATATATGATTCTGGTAACTGAATGTCATGGTAGCAAAGCTGTAGTGTGAAGCTGTCCAGGGGCTGTGAAATAAATGTGTGTAGTAGTTGCACAGTGTAAGGAGCTGCCTGTCCACTTATGTGACAATTATAACAGTAGAAACACCCATACAGTTAAATGAAGTTCCTATAGCGATTTGCAATGCCCAGAAGTCATATTTGCCCATACCTCAGAAATTTGGCAGCTCGCATCCTTCGAGGTACCCACTGCGACTCCATACACTGAACTCCAGCTGCATTTCTTCCTCTGAAGGATACAGTCCGTTTTTAGGGTGGCATTTACAGCCGTTGAGGACAGGATATTTTTCTGCAGGTGTTCGTGTTTATACCATTGATCTTTACAATTCGTATTTTTTTTTTGTCATGGAACTAATGATTTATTTAAATGGCTGTTCTTTAATGTGCAAGTGAAGCTTCAGCACGCTTCTGATTATTTTCATGTTATTAATAATGACAATATTTTTCTAATTTGGCATATTTTAGAAATTGCTAACTAGCAAAACTGCCGATAGTAACAGTAATCTGGCCATTGAAATAACATTCATAAAATAATAGACTGTAAGTATTATAGAATGTTGTGAAATTTCTGCTGAGAATTGTAAAGAAATTATTTATTTGTAAGTTAGTCTGTATGGAAATCTGGCTCTTTTAGTCTTATATTAGCAATGTTATTTAGAAATAATGGAGAATGCTGTGTCCTAATTGCTATTTCAGAGGAATTTTGCTTGGAACAAGCACCCAGTTAATTTAATTTTCTGTTATAGTGGCTGCTATTGACTCCCTTTTATATTACCAAACTCAGTGTATAAAAGCAACTAAATGACAAGAAGCTCGGCCACTTTCCTGGTCACTGTAATAGGTTACAGATTGCCACTCGAGTGATGTTTCCAAGCCTTACTATGACAAATCAATAACTATTCAGCCACCTTATTCCTATGACAAGTTCAAATGAAGTTTTATTTGCTAAGAGTAATGGTACCTGTGACTGGGTAGCGACTAGGCTGTTCGTTCAGATATTGGAGAAGTGCAAAGTGCCCAGCAAAACCTGGCAAAAGCAGAAGAATAAAAGCAGAAGAGAAGGCTTTCAAGGGAAGCGTGTCTGGGAGGATAGACTGGGGACCACAGGTTTGATAGTGTGATTAAAAGGTTAAAAAGTAAATCAAAACAAAACACCCTGCTCTCAAAATCCGCTCCTGAGTGGGAATCTTTTCAGTATTTTGACTTTTTGGCTGCTGAATCAGGTGTTATGTCCACATATAATTTCAATTCTCTTTGCTTTTGTCTAATCTGTTGGTTAATTCTCATGCTGTGGGTTGCCAGCTTGGTGCTAAGGGAAATGTTATCTCTGTTTCCCTGATCTTCACAAATTGGGAAATCATGGTTACCACAAAGAGCACTGAAATATGGAACGTGTTTGGGGAAATACTCTTGACCATTTTCTTTCCATTTACCTGTATTTCACAGTGATGATTTTGGCTACTTATTTAATCAATTAATCATTTAATCATGTTGGTCTTTGACACTGGAGGGGAGGCGTGAGAGAGAGAAATGATCATGAAGAAATTTCACTGTTACTCTTCAAATACTGATAGGAAGAATACAAAGTCCTAAAAGAAGAAAAAGAAAAAAAAGACTTGAGGGCCTGAGATCGCGGCATCCATCTGCTGTCCTTTGGGACCCTTCTTTCATTTTGCTAATGATATCAGTGTTGACTCACTGGATCTTGTTTTTTTCTTTCATTTGTGGTCTTTCTGTGGAAGTTTAAGGACAAGCTATCAGGCAGAAAGGATGAATTAATTCCTCTTATGAAGGAGGCCAGTCAAAATCCTCTTATGAAGAACTGTGAAACTTGTGGGATCTGGGTAACAACCAAACTGAAAATTTCTTCTGCCTGCATAGAAAGAAGCAGGTAGAAAGAGATAAAACTTTGAATTCTCTACTTGTTCCTGGAGATCACACATCTGGGAGGTCTCCCTTGCATTTTCATGAGGCCGAGGGCATCGGTGAAGCTAGAAGTTTGCAGCAAAGTTGCTGTCAGTCTTCTGTGAAGCTAAGGAATGATGTTGCCTTTTAGACATCCTGGTAGTCCCTTTTTGTAGCTATCTGTAGCAGTGATGCAGGCACGTGCCAGACAAGCTGCCCGCCTGCGCTTCCACTGTAAGTGATTTTGAAAGCTCTCCTCTCTGTGCATTTGCCTGTGGACAGAATTCAGCTTTTTCCTTTTCATTTGACACTTCACATGTTGCTGTCTCATGAATTTTTATCAGGGGAAACTTCTTTGGGGAGAGATATTTAAAGCAAAAAATAGGACCTGAGTGGGCCTGCAAGTTCAAAGACTAGAGGAAGGTGGCACAGCCTTTGGGAGGGATGGGAACACTGGATGGGGATGAGCTTCTGAAAGGAATGAAAATTGGCAAAAACGTGAGCAGGGATCCTCTGCCTGGTTCCCCCTGCTCTTTGACATTATCGTTATTAAAGCTGACTGCTGAAGACTTGAGTTTCTCTTGCTGCTGTTTGTTGTCAGATTTGAGAAGTGATGTTAACGCTAGCAGAGGTCGAGCTGTGTTTGGGTTGTGATGGGCTTGTTAGGAGGTGCCTGTGAAGGTGGCAGCAGCAGCAGCCTGTGGACTTCTTGACTGATGTGCACACTACGCCTCAGAAAGATCATTCAACTTTGCACTTAAAAATGCTTACATATTGTTGCATTTGAAGGGGGAAGTTATTTGGTAAGAGATGCATCCCCTTGAGTGACAGCTGATCCTGAGAGGACAGAGGGACTGGGAGTAGCTGGGCTCATCTCTTAATAGGGATACCAAATACTGTGGTAGCTATAGGTCTGGCTCTGGCAGCACCAGATTCACTGTTGGTTGACTGTAGGCCAAATTGCCTTCAAAACTAGTGGTTGAGTTCACAAATAGCATGATTTATTCAAATGCAACACTTACAAAGTAGGTTTCGGGTGTCAGTACAGGAAGTTACTACAATGTGGGGTTCTTAGCTCTAATGTCCAAACACACACAAAAAAAAATTGTTTGCCCAAGAAGATGAGAGAGGACTCTCAAGCTTGAGGAGTCTCCTCAGGCAGCATCCAGACCTGAGGGGAGGACAGGGCCAGTCACCGATCCAGAAGTTGCAATGGAGTCTTCCTCCAACTTCCTCACTCCTTAGGTCACCTTTTATGTATATACTTTTTTACATTTAGGCAGAGTTTGAGTTACTGTAGTCATGCTTACTATTGATTGGTGAAATGCTCTGGCTTTAATTTAAAGGTGCAATTGAAAATCAGGCAGATACTGGAGAGAAATGGAGGAATTTCAAAGTTTGTAAGAGTAAGACAGAAGAGGAAAGTTTACCTGTAGGATAACCTGCAGGTTAGGATTACCTGTAGGATTACCTAGGGCAGAGAGCACCCTCGGCAAATTTACTGATGATACAAAACCGGGGCGAATAACTGATGTCTTTGAGAGGGTCTCCCATGGGCCCTAGGCTGGATGGGAAGTAGCTGGAACCTGGTAGTTCATGTTAGCTAAAGGTGCAAGGAATGAAAACCCACAAATGAATGTTATTGTGAATCTCCTGTAATTGGCTGTTGTCTTTTTCAGGAAATCTTTAAGCTGGAGGGCAACTTTGGAATTCCAAGACAAAAAAGAGCTATTTTGGCAACTCCGATTTTAATTCCAGAAAATCAAAGACCACCGTTCCCCAGATCTGTTGGCAAGGTGAGTCATTGCTGACTAGGATTGAGTTTCGATACTGAATAATTGATTCATCTCTCCCAGGTTTTGCTATGCCTGGCATGCTGGTAGTAGTGTCCCAAAGAAAATTAAGAAGCACAAAGCTGGATAAAGAGGATTTTTTTTTCTTTTTTTTGTGTAGACAGATGAACACGACTTTGTATTCATGGGAGATTCTGCTAGCATATGCTGTGGTCAAAAGCAGTAATCAGAGCTGTATGTTTTCCTGCGGCTGTTAACTTCAATAGGCTGGTGCTGAAATCCAGGCCACGGGTTTTACGAAGAATATCCCACTGCCACTGCGTGGAACATCTTGTCCTTTTATTCTCAAGGTCTGAAACAAATTTGTAAGGAGAAAATGTTTGGATTCTTTAGCTCATCTTCTACCCAAAGATTAAGTAAATCTGTGTAGAGACTTTCAGTTTTGTTCTGTATTATCTGCAAAGCTCTGAAAAACAAGTAAGTTTTTCTCGCTTCTGCTGGCACTCCTGTACATGAGAGAGTCCTCATAGCTGCTTTGCTAGTACTTCAGGTATATAACTTGCATACAAAATTATCTTTAAAACTTAAAATCTTTGAAGTTATCTTTTAAACTTAATTACCAACAGCTGCTTATATGGCCATTGGGCACCAGAAGCTGTAATTGCATGAATATATTCTGCTCATGGTTAGCTTTGAGGTAGGAACCCTACGTGTTGCTCTGATTTCCATAGGTGTGTCGGTGCCATAAGAGCCTGTACAGCCGTGGGGTCAGTTCGTAATTCCACCGATGCGATCGCTAGAGCTAAACCCACAGCTTGAGGGCAGAATTGGACTCTACGATCGATGTCTAATTTAGCTAGCTGGCATCTAATCAGTTAGGTTAATGATTAGGAAAGGTTTGATTCTTTTCAGTAAAAACAGAATAATTCCCTGAAAAATTTATTTTCTCACCTTTCCTCCCCCAGTGTTTATACTGATAACATACTTTGCTGTTAGTTTTTCCATCTTTCCAAGTGCGTCCTGTGTAGTAGTGTATAAAAATATCATTCTCAAATGACTTCAATTTCAGTGTTTGAAAATCTGAGTTACTGATTAATATGTTAGTGATAAGCAGTTGTTTTTTAAGTCTTCTGCTGCACAAGTCTAAAGCATTATGAAAACTAGAAAGCCTGCTTTTACACAGATCTGTGGTACATACCTTTTTTCTTGTTATTATGTTCTTTCTTTTCTCACTATAGCTGTTCCCTGTGAACAAAGACTTGCAATTTGTTAGATCTCAGATACTCTGAGTTGTTCTCTGGAATGTCTTCATTAAATATATTTATTGGAAGTATAAGATGCCAGTCCTGGCAGTTGAGGTTCTCTAAACTTGAGATGTTTCTGGTTCTATTAGTACTTAAATGTTTTCCTGGCACCTTGTCATCTTGATTTGTTCTCATTCTTGAAAAGCTAGTCTTGCAGCAGGAGTTGGCTACTCTAGATGATGTGCAAATACAGAAATATAAAAGCTCCAGAATTTCTAAGATCCTAAGACACTTATTTAAAAATAATACTTAAGCAATAGGAGCTGCAAATGATTGGTGCCTTGAAATATTCTGAGCCATCATCTATTTAAAAAGACTTTAAATGTAGATCTTTTTTCACTATCGTCTACTTTAGGTATCCAGGTATGAGTGTTTTGGCTATTATTTGTTGAAAAAAAGTAGGTAGATATCCATATTGTATTTTGGTAACCCGATATGGTTACATCTCTACCTCTATTGGAAAAACTCTCGAAGGGCAAGTGAAGAGCAAAAATCAAAGCAGAAATGTACAGTTGGGATTTAATAAAAAAGTAATACTGAACACTATTCAGGTTGCTCCCTGGAAGGATGAAGTCAGTCGATAGTGTTATCACGAGACACAGTGAGGACATCAGAGCAGGAAAAACGGATTTGTTCTAACACTGCACAGTCATTTTCAGACTGATTCCTTCTTTGCAAAGTTGCTTTCTGATAGGACTTGTGTCTGAGAACGTATCAAAAGAGGGTTTATCAAAGAAAGGAGAGAAGACCTTGCTTTGATAGAGAAGCCATCCTCTCCACGATGTTGATCTTGTCCGTGCTGCGGTGCTGGGCACCTGGATGGGGCCGAGGACGTGTCTCCCATGGGAGCCAATCCCATGTCCTGAGGTGTCCCTGCTCTGCCAGGGCTTGTCCAGCTCAAGCTGGTGCTCAGGAGGAGCAGCCGTGTTGGCTGTAGTTGAGCCTGCCAGGACGTAGTTTGAATCGTAAAGCCCACGAAGAGCCAGGGTCTAGGCGGTTATTGGTGTGTTCTCAGCTAACATAATATTCTGACAGCTCCACTGGCACATACTGAGTTTGTATAGAGTGTTTCTGTGTTTCTACTGCAAGCAAATAATACGTAAACCCAGCTTCTAAAGCTGTGCTTAGCATATTTCAAAATTTATCTTTAATCATATAAGAAATGGGTTTAGAAGTTCAGGGGCTCTTTATAGTTCACTATAAAGTCATCGTGCTCCCCGTTGTCCCTGTGTCCGAGTGGGACAAGCCTGTAGAATATTGGTTCAGAATTTTGCTAGCAATACATGGCCACTTTAATGTGTCAGGGTTGTTGCTCACTTAAATGTTAAAAGTAATTTTCTTGAAGCATCAAATTCTTTAGCTGATAGAACACATCAACAAAACCATTTAGGAACTAAGAATCAGGAATGCGTGTGAGGGGAGAAAACATGTATGCTTTGCCATGTATAGAAGAGAAGAATAATTAACTTTTTTTCACAGTTAGGAAACAACCATATGAAGAGAAAATGGAGGTTTGCAGAGTGCTTTATTCTCTAATGATTGCTAACATAAAATCAGGGAGGGGATACTACACGGGACAAGTGAAAAAATACAGTATTAATTGCAGAAATTCCAATCAGTGTTTAGCTCAACAAGGAAATGCACACGTAGAAGCTCTTTCCTCTACTATTACTGGCCTCCTAGCTTATCCACCTAGGAACAAGATTATTGCCTTGCCATTTGCACACCCTTGCTTAGGGTATCTCTTAATTAAATAACTATCATAGACGTGCTGTGCTTTGAGGTAGAGGAATCTCACCTTCTCGTCAGGGCTAAGCTTTGGCATATTATCTTCCCTTCCTAAGGGAGGCCAGTGTGATTAAAATATTTTAATATGCTCTTGGTAACACAGGCCTTTGTGTCCAGATGGCCCCGGCTACTGCAGTTGACTGTTATTGATGTGTTTTGTCTAGCTCTTGCTGATAGAGCACAGGGATATTATATTCAATTTTTGGTCTCTCTCCATATGTTACTCTTCCAGTTTATTTGTCCACATCAACTCAAATGAAGTACAAAGCAGTGGGATGCGGGAGTACAGTGTAATTACAGTGATAGGTAATTTGTCAGTATGCTATAGAGAGGTAGCCTAAGACTAATTTAAGAGTTATGTATCGATGTATCTATTTGATTGTCTCTAGACATTCCTTAATGGATTGTTTTTTGAAGTTTATACTAATAAAGAGCTCAAAAAGCAGGAGGGCTGTTATGGAAAGATAGCCGACAAGTTCCAGTTCTTCTTCCAGGCATCCAGAGAGGATGCCATCCATCTGTGGAGCGTGAGAAGCATTTGCTGTGCATTTTACTAGGGAGAGGGTGAATTTATGCAATGAATCTATGATTCTATTAGAATTTAAAGGAATGTCCTTCATAAGAATGAGTATTTTAATAGTTGTAGCCTAAGATGTGGAAGCCAAGAGTGACCTGATAAAAGTTGGCAAGACCAGTTATACTCAGTGATGGCCAGAAAACAAGGAGAGAGCCAGAAGAATTTTCAGTACCTTTGTGCTGAAAGATGGAAAAGCACTTTTAAAAAATGGATGTTGTTTCATTTTATGGATTTGTTTTGTTTTTGTCAGTAAAATATCGTTGCTTGGATGTTTGTGTTTTTTGGGGAGGAGGATGCTTGGGTCAGATACTGTATCAGGTATCAGCCTGGGTATAGGTTTTCTCCTTTGATCATCTGGCTGATGCCAGATGCCAAAGCTGTCAAAGGGCAAATAGATGGTAGGACTGACCTGAACAAAAGCTGCAGAACAAGTGGCTTATGCTGCCAAGCAGGCTAGGAATCTGTAAGCAATGGGGCTTTGTTTTGTTTTGTTGCCCTGATTGCCCCTTCTCTGACCTGTGCATGCAGACAAGGAGAAAATACAGATGATAAGTTCATACAGCACCTTAAAAAAAAAAAAAAAAAAAAAAAAAGTTGAAGAGGGGAGGAAAAACAAAGATAACTGGTTGGAAAAACTGCTGGAAACTTATTTTTGAGTCAATATCTGATTGAGGCTATTTATATCTGATAAATTATATGCTTCATGGAATGGAATTGTTAAGTACTAAAGATGCAGCTAGAAAGAAAGTGTCAAACTTCAGCAAAGCGTTTGAAAAGAAGGTAGTAAAGTAACGAGACAGAGATGATTATGATCCACCAATCTGAACAGAACCTAGAGAGAAGGCTTGTAGATTAGAGGAGAATACGTGAAATAAAAACTGAATTAAGGAGTGGATTTATTTCACTATAAATGAGGCAGAAAATGGAGGAAAAGGAAGAGAGAAAATTTTCCAAGAGAGAAATGGGTAAGGAAAGGAGGTGGCTGAGGTTGGTGTCCAAGTCTGGAAGATAATGGTGGGTACTGACAGAGAACAAAATGGTACACAAAGCAGAAGAAATATACCTAGTTCAGCCAGAATGCCAATTCCTCTGCAAGGAGACTGGAAGCCTGGTGAGATAACATTTAGGATGAAATAGTTGAAAAATGGGGCTGAGAGGGAGATGCTGAAATGTTTGACTACTGGGGAGCGCTGCTGATCAAGGACGTTTTCCAGTGAATGTTCCACTCGAGAAAAAGGAGTTCTGCCTTTTCACATCAAAGTTTGATGACATATAAGAAAAGCCCTCATTAAGTTACATAAACATCTATACATCTATCAAACTCTGCAGGAAAC